TCCACTCCTAACTCCTCCCACCTTAGCTCCTCCTACACACTTGGGCCAGCATGAGCTTCAGGGGCTCTGAGAGGCTGGAGAGCAGAGAATTGTTCCTAAAGATGGGGAAGCTGAGCCTGGAGTGGACAGTAGATGGACTTGCCCAGGGTCCCACGGAGTGGACAGTAGATGGACTTGCCCAGGGTCCCACAGAGTGGACAGTAGACTCACTTGCCCAGGGTCCCATGGAGGAAGTTCAGAAGCAGAGCTGGCACTGGGACCCAAGGGACCTGGATGCTCTTCACATCTCTCCCTCCTGGGTGTTATTGAGGGTTGTGTGTTCAGCGTCACACAGCTGTGCCCTGGGGAACTCACAGCTCCTTCTCTGGAGACTGACAGCCATCGCTGTTCGTCTTTCAGTGCTCCCCACCTCCTCCTGTGTCACCTGCTCATCTGGTCTTGTTGCTCAGCTTATCAACCAGTCGTCCCAGTTGCCAGCCACCCTTCCTCACTCACTGGTCCCCGTGGTCCTAGAACCTCTCACTATCAGTAGAGGCTCAGACTATGGCCCGGGACATTGGGCTCAAAGCCAAGCTCTCTTTCCTACTAGATGTGTTACTGTGGACAGGTTCCATAGCTCCTCTTTCCTTCAGTTTCCTCTTTCATGGAGTCGTCAGGATGATATATCAGGAATGTCTCTGGGCAAAGCAAGGACTATTTTGTCAGTAAAATTTCATAACCTTAGCTTTGTCCACTCCCCTCTGGGATGCTTCCATTGCTCTGGCATGGCAGGCGGGGAAGCCTTTGAAGGAAACAACCACCAGAAAGACCAGAAAGAACGTGGGGAGGAGCAGGCTCCTGCAGGTGACCTAGGGGTTGGACTGAATGCCAAATGGACAGAACAGAAAGAAGGCTGCTTGAACAGGGAACAGCCTGAGCAAAGGTGTAGGGCTTGGGGCCTGGTGGGAGTGGATGGAATTGGGAGAACACAGAGTAAGGAGGCCATGGAAAACTAAGCTGAAGTCTCTTAACTTACAAGGTGACAGGAGGTACCCAGTTTTTAAACACAGAAACTTCCGGACATCTATCCATTCGTTGGCTGGCCCACCAACTCTTTCACGGGTGCTAGCAGCTGAAATACTTTTCCTAGGATTTTCCCATCCAAGGCAAATCCAGCTAACTGTAATCTGGTTGCCATTTTCCACACCCCACCTTTACCTCTCTTGCCTTATTGTACTGGTTGAAATTTCAGGATAATTTTCCATGATAATATTGATAATAAAATTCTCTGTCACATTCTTGACTTTGATAAGAAATTCCCCCAAGTGTTTGAACAATGAAGTATACTATAATATTGACTATTTTAGAGTCAGAGTAAGATTGGAGTACACTTTGATTCTTATTTACTGACATGTAAGGAATGAATCTTGAATGGTGGCTGATGTCTTTTCAGTCTCTTTTATACAGACAGGCAGGTTTCCTTCCTTGCTGTAGTGATGGAAAGTTCTCACGAATTTTTTTGATATTGAACCATGCTCACATACCTAGAGTAAAACTCACTTGGTCATAGCATATTGTTGCTCGCCCAGTGTTGCTCAGCCAGAGCGGTAGTGGACATACAAAACCATTGTTAATAACAGCAAGAACGAAATAACTTGGTACCATATGAAGGAATCATGAGACTAACCTTTAATTCTTAGTTTTTCTTCTGTGTCTGGTAAGTGCTTACATCACAATTTTGCCAGATTGATGGAATGAATTAGAAAGACTCTCTTGGTTGATCGGCTGGACCTTTTAATAACCTAGAAATGTATCTTTTGGAGATTTAAAACAACTTGTCCAAATAAGAACAAATAAAAACTTGCTCATGAAGCTAAGTGGACAAGGCTCTTATTTTTTAATAAAGACATCTGTTCTGCTTCTCCCAGGATTGTTAGGCTATTGGTATTTTCTAGTCGCTTTTGTGTTAATTGGGGTAATTTATGTTTTCCTGGAAAATTGAACTTTTTGTTGAGAACTTCCTATTTATAAGTATGCAGTGTATATTCTTCTTTATAAATATTATCTCGGGGCTGGAGAGATGGCTCAGTGGTTAAGAGCACTAACTGCTCTTCCAGAGGTCCTGAGTTCAATTCCTAGCAACCACATGGTGGCTCACACCATCTGTAATGGGATCTGATGCCTTCTTCTGGTGTGTCTGAAAACCATGACATTGTACTTATATATAAAATAAATAAAAATATAATCCTTTTAAATATTATTTCTTCTATGATTTTAGTTATATCTTTCCTCATTCTGTATCTTGATAATTCTGTGGGGTTTGTTTTAAATCTTGTTGGGTCTGTCTATTTTATTGGCCTTTTCAGAGGAGACTGGACATGCTCAGAGCGGTCTGGCTAGCAATCTGACTTTCTGGTCCTTTCAAACAATGACTCTGCCTGCCGTGTCTGCCTCTGTTTGCCCATTCATTTATTGATTCTTCCCTCTCCTTTTCCTCAAGTTGCTTTTATTGCTTTTTCATCTGGCCTTCCGAGTTGAGCGCTTTGCCAAGGTTCTGATTTTCAGAACCTTTGCCTGAGGGATCAAGATTTTAAAGTGTGTTTACCAGCAGCAAAAACTGTTGACCAAACAAGACCCAAAGGGCAGACACTTGTTGAAGAATGAACCAGATCCCAGAAGGTAGAAGTCCAGGAGTCCAAGCCTAGCCTCGCTCAGATTTGCTGTTTCTGTAGGGACACTGGAGCATGTCCCAGCTGCCTATACTAGATGGGCTTCCTCATATCACCCTCCATCTTCCAGGAGAGAGGTACAGCACCCCCCTTTTGTCTTGAACTCCAGAAGAATATGTTCACTATAAATTCTATGTAGTTGAATTTCCTTCTGGAAGACGGACAGTAATGATGACAGTGTCCCAGAGGAGAAAGGGACTTCAGGACTCATGCCCAGAAGTTCAGACAGTCTCACAGCAAGGTAGCGTTGTGGACAGGTTGGCTAACCATGTAGACTTTGACCTTGGCTCACCTGGGACATCTCATTTTCCCATAAGAAAGGAATCATATCAATACCTTACCTCCTGAGGTCGAAGAATAGAGGCGTTAACCCTTTCAAATCCTTGGCAGGAGCCTTATGCTTTGTCATTTCTTTGCAAGTGTTCATTGCCTGCAGTTGTCATCGTTAGGTGGGAATCTGGGATCAGGGACAGGGTTGGAGATGCTCCCTGGATTGGTGGAAATACTCCCTTGATTGATGGAGATGCTCCCCACTTGGTGGAGATGTTCCCACAATTCCTGAGAAAGCCCTTCACTGAAGTACCCCCTGACTTTGGCTATCTCACAAACCAGCTACTGACATCTCAGGCCCTCTGTGGCCTGAATGGTACCCACTCCACTCCTGAGTCATCATCTCAGCTCTTCCTCATCCACAACCCCAGTCACCGACACTGTAAAGAAGACTGGGGATGAGAGGGCCCTGGGCTCGTATAGGCACTGGGGTGAGGCATCTGCTCTGCCACAGTCCAAGTGGGCCCCAAGCCAGTTGACCTCCTTCCTTCACCAGGTCTTGAAGAAACTCCTGAGATCCCTCTTGAATCTCTTTGTGAACAGAAGTGGAGGGGGCTGCATGGGCTTCTCCAGTGGAGTGGCTTCTTTCACTAAAATCCATTAGCACTGTGCCCTTCAGACCTTGGGGTTCAAAGACTTGACTTGGAGCGCCAACCCTGCAGAGACACGTAGGAAACCTAACCAGGGCAAACCTCTTCAACTCACCTCCAGTCCTGCAGGCTTGAGTGTCCTGTTTCCTCTTGGCCTTCCTTGAGAGGATTGCTTAGGTGCAATTCATGCTGAGGATGAGGGGCTTCAAGAGTTAATCCTGGGGTGTTGGCTTAACTCCAACATCTCATGTAAACACACCTGAGCCAAGATGCCCAGCCCAAAGTCAGGGAGGTGATAAGCATGGCAGGGAAGGGCTCCTTTCTGGGACTGTCTGAAGTTCTGTAAAGTTGGCAGACTTGGAGGTGGGGTAACGTCTGGCAGACTTGTAAAATGGAGTAGCCTCTGTCAGTCTTCAAATGATGGCACTAGACAGGACATCAGTGTTCTTCTTGTGTCGATTCTCAAACAAAGTAAAAGACTCTTAGTAGATTCGTGGGAATCTCTAGCAGATCTCTAGCAGGACCACAGCAATAGACATGAGACCATCCTGCCTTCCAGGAGTTGAAGGCCTGTAGAGAGCTTGACTCTCTCCACCTGAGGGCCAGGGCCTTCTCCTCCATGTGCCAGCAGCAGGACAGTGTTGGTGTTGGGGAAAGCACCCTGCATGTTCACTGAGTAAAGGAACAGCCCTGGGTCTTGGAAGGGAAGTACAGTACAGGCCTATCTGGAGCTGAGGCTCTGAGGCACTCCCCACCATGAGCTGTTGGGAATCAGGCAAGAAGATGTGTGAGCCAGGCTTTGAAAAGCAATGGCTGGAGGCTGTATATAGCTGGAGGAAGGTAGACTGAGAACCAATCAGAAGCAGCATGGTGGATGGAGGTAGAGCAAGCCGACCAATCAGAAGCAGCATGGTGGATGGAGGTAGAGCAAGCCGAGTCACACGAGTCACACTTGAGGAGGACACAGCTGGGTGTGTGCACCAGCACTGTCCCAGCTCCCTGAGGGGGTTTTGGTTTCTCAGACATTGACCACAATTTTAACTTGGACCTTGCCAAGTAGAGCCAAGGTAGCTGGTGTGTGCATGCATGTGCATCTGTGTGTGTGTGTGTGTGTGTGTATGCATGCATATTAGTGTGTGTGCCCATGTGCTTGTATGTGTCTGTGTGCTTGTGTGTGTGTCTGTGTGTGTGTCTGTGTGTGTGTCTGTGTGTCTGTGTGTGTGTCTGTGTGTGTGTGGTGTATGACATGGAGAGTAGGGCACACTGATGTTTAGAGTCTAGAAGTGACAAATGTGCAGGCTGTCCAGGAGCTGAGGCTGAGCAGCAGGCTGCAAAGATGCTCACCCTGTGTTTTGTTGCTTTGATTCTTCAGGCCGAGACTTGGCAAGCACAACCCTCCCGGGGTATCCTCCACACGTCCCCCCCGCTGGACAGGGCAGCTACTCTGCACCGACGCTGACAGGGATGGTGCCTGGTGAGTTTGCACTGCTGGCGTCTCCACAGCAGGCAGCAGACGGGGTTGCTGTGGGAGGGCACCCCCCACCCCAAAGCAGCCCAGGTGACCTCCATGTGTCTGAGAAGCCGACCTGAATAAGTCATCAGAGGTTGACCCAGCCTCTTCTGTAGCTGGGTCTGCAGTGGGGCCAGGAGAGCAGTGGCTGTCCTGGGGAGGACATCAGGGAGTAGGTTCTTGTCTGACACTTAAGAAGTCCCTTGTCAGCCACGCTGGGTGCCAGAACCCAGAGAGTATTCCCTTAACCTTCCTTCCTCCCTCAACTTCTCTACCCCCCAATCTGTGTAGGATGAACCACATAGAGCCAGCTCCCTCCCAGGTGTTCTTGATGGCCTCATCCCTTGAGCTTGAGCACAGTGTGTTTTCAAGACATGTGGGTTGTTGACTGTGACTTTGTCATTTGAGGCTAAACTGAACACAAGGAAAACCTGTCTCTCCACCAGTGCTGGGTCAGTTCTCTGAGAACAGAGATCACCATTCCTTAAGGGATCCTCTCTGTTTCCCCCTCCCCATTCATCCTGTGGACCAGGGTGAGTCCACAGGATCAAGGGGCTCATTCTTTCCAGATGGAGCCCAGCTCTTTCAGCTTCTTTCTGTCCACTTAAAGGTGCCCAAATGGCCAGTTTGTGAACCCCTGAGGGTTCTTGATGGGGACTTGAGTGAGCTTGAGTTTAAGATAAGTATTCTGCAGGTATATAAGGCTTCATAGGTTGGGGGTCACATGGCAACAAGTGGAGCAGGTAAGAGCAGTCGAGTGGAGTCTTCCACACTGTACACTCAGGCACAGAATGCCAAGGAGCCCAGAATTCAGAATTCCACTCTGGCCAAGTTGTGTGCACAGTGTATTTAACAAGGTAGGAGGATGGAGCATATTTCATTTAACGGTTTGTTAGCTTGATTTATGCCTTTTAAATATGAGACATATGGGAAATGGCCTCTGTGAGCACTCTTGTCCTGGGCCTTGCCAACACCGGGGAGGCCTGCCAGGTTGTACTGCAAGAGCTTTGCCTTTTCTGCAGCCAGGATAGTCCTGTGGCAGATGCCAGAGAAATACAGCACATAGGCTGAGGTGATGGGGCACGACCCACACACACATACTTGGGCTTGTCATCCCCAAACCTTCAGCAGTTGAGGTCACAGACCACATCTGAGAACGGCCCCTCATGTTTCTGTAGCACTTTGTAACATGTAAACACCTTTCTCTATGTTTATAGAGAACAACTCTGTCAGATGGCTTAGCTCGAGGGTAAAGCCCTCATTTCTCTAAATGACTGGGACCCAAAGAAGTTAGTGGACTTCACAAGGGTGCTAATGAGCTTTGACCCCCAGCGTGGGGTGACGAGGTACCCATGGGCTCTCCACAGCTCTGGCTTCTCAGAAGGACTTGCTGTAGTAACCCTGAATCCTGGTCCCAGTTAGAACGTGTGAAGATGAGACCACCTCGGTGGCCTTCCCAGAAAACTTCCTCTTCTCCAGAGACCTATCCAAACAGTGACCCTTGACCCTGGTCATTCCTCCAGTTCTAGCTACTAGGCCCCACAGACAAATAGCTATGGGCCTGGTAAAGGCCACAGCCGGATGGTGGGAGCTTCTCATCCAGTAGGAATGGCAGCAGGAATCACAGGGCCATGCAAGGGCCCAACGTCCCAAGTCTCATGGAACATGGGACACCTGGGACTCAGTCCTCCACTACAGAGAGACAGTACACAGCACCGAGGGAAGGAACGAGAATTATGGTTGGGGAGTTGGCTGCCGACTCTTCTCTCTCCCTGCTTCCTGCCCTGTCTCTTCCTCCTGCTGGCTCTGAGCTTTCTTTTCACCCACACCAGGTACTTAAAGCCACATCATGCTTAGTTTTTGTTCCTCAGTGTCACATCCTGATTCTACATTGTCTCAAACCTGTTTCCTGGATGATCTGTGCCCCTCGCCCCTTGCCTTTCAGCAGAGCAGTGATCTGGCCTCCCCGCCCCCATCCACCCGCCCCCCCCGGCCCCATGCATTTCCAAGGTCTGCCCTAGCTTGCTTTGTGGGTTCCTCTCCTAGGCCTCGCTGTCCCAACAATCACTGTGAGCTGTCAGCGACCTTTCTTCCGTACCCTGGACCACTTCCCACCCTGATTGGCTGCCAGCCAGCTCCACTCTTCAGGTCTGATCACAAACACTAGGAGCCTTCCAGGATGGTCCCACCAGGGACTAGGCTAGTGTTGTCTGTCCCATCAGCCACGTGGTGCACACTGCTCTCAATGGAACCTTGTTAGCCATGGGTGTCATCATAGCACCAGGCGGGTTCTAGATACTTTCTGTGAGTGTTGGCTAGGGGACAGAGGCTGGACAAAGCAGATAGCCTGTGTTCTAATTTCCTGTGACAGACAGAAGACACCCCCCCCCAAGGCAGTGCTCAGAATAACGGGAGCATTCTCTCCCATTTCTGTAACAAGTCTGAAATCAGTATCACTGGGCCAAAATGCTGCTGCTGGCCCAGTCACACTCCCTGGCAAGCCCTGGGAAGTGGCTGTCTCTCTCCTCATCCAGTTTCATTCAGCTGCAAGGCCAAGTGATTCCATCACCCCTCCCTTCACTCATATAAGGACACTCGAGCTTTGGGGCCCATGTGGGTAATCAAGCTAATTCATAGCTCAGCTTAATCACATCTGCCCACTTATCTTGGCAACACAGGTTCCACACCGGGAGCCTGACCTGTCGAGTTCCCGGGACCAGGCCATGGCTGTGCTACGATCTGTTGGAGGGCTTTGATCTCGCCTCTGTTCTGATTTTTACTGCTTAACCTCTCCGGTTTCTAAACCCGTGAGGTATTTACTTGATGGGAACCAGTTATCACAGCCACAGAGGGCCTTGTTGGCATGTTCTGAGAAAGTTGACAAGACTCCGGGGGAGCTGTTACGTGGTTTCCCGGCTCTGAGGTGGCCACACTGGGATGGATGGTTTTGCCGTGTAAATCAGTCTCTCATGCTTGCTGTGGGTCTGTAGCGCAATCTGCAGGGAAAGCAGAAACCCCATGGTTCTTTGCCTCCTTGGGCTTTAGGAAACGCTTGGCTGTCACTGTTTCCCACATACAAGTGGAACCTTCCATTTATAACATTTGCTTCCAGGACACACATCGGGATAGTCTCCGGGGGACGGTCTCCAGGGCACACTCAGGCAGTTGAACTCAGGGGTGTGAGAGGAAAAAAGTAGACCTAACGAATTCTGTATTGAGTGGCAGTTTGTTGGCACATCCTGCTTCCTGGCCTTGATGTTGTTTTACTATCTGCCCTTCCTGCTCCAGGGCGCCCTCGTGTCTGCAGAGCACGGCATCCAGTTCCTCTGAGGGGTCTGCAGATTCCCTTTCGGCAGCCCTTTGCAGATCAGTTATACTGGAGAAAGCAAGGCCTACGTATTTTATCAGCTAAGGGTGGAGACAGATTTCAGTTTTTATTTCCATCAAGTCTCAGCAAATGCCAAAAGTTTTGCACCAAAGATTCCACCGTGTCTCGATCGGCGAGTTAGTACCAGATGCCTGCCTGAAGATATTTGTGCAACCTAACAGATATTGACATGGCATTTGGAACTCTTAAACACCCTAGGCTGCAGGGGAGGGAGTTCCCTGCCCTTTGGCTTCAATGAGTCTGAAAACAAGCAAAGCATCTTTGAGAATCACTCGAGGGAGTGGGGACTCCCTCCCCAGCCCCTTGCTTAGCTCCTGCTTTGGGGATTTAGGAAGAAGTACCTGCAGGGCTAACATGTCCTCATCTTCCCCAGATGCAGACGCTGATAGAGGGATGCATGTCAGATTAATGTGCACAAAGGAGCATGGCTGGTCCCTGTGGTCCTGTGGTCCCTGTGGTCCCTGTGGTCCTGTGGTCCCTGTGGTCCTTACAGTACCTACTGTTCCTATAGTCCCCGTGTCCTAGGCACTCTAGTAGTCACTAGTAGTCAAGGACTGGGAGACATTATTTCTAAACACCTTGCAATTAAGGTGCCCAGTGAAATGACAGTCTTTAGTCTCTTGAGAGGCAGTAGGTGAGGATGAGGGACAGAAGGAGGACTGGGAACCAGAAAGGAAGTCTGATGCAGGCTGCAAGGGTGGGCAGGGCAGGAGCCACCTCGATTCTCTGACATCACCCCTTGTGGCTTTCTCAGCCCCTCTCTGCCAACCTGTCTGGCTTGTTTACACCTTTCTGTTCCCCTACCTAGTCAAGTCTGCTCCAGTAACCTAAGTGTACTAATTTCCTGTTGTGCCTATAACAAATTACCATAACTCAGGGACCTAAAACAATGGAAATGTTTTATATTCCAGTTCTTGAAGTCTGAAACCCAAAACAGTCTAACAGCCCAAGTCAGGGTGTTTGCTGGACTGAGTTCCTTCTGGATACTCACACACAGGGAAGGGGGTGTTTTATTTCATTCTCCAGCTCATGGATTCGTTGGGCATCCTTTGGCTTGGGGCCCCATTGCTTCATTTTTAAAGTTGGCAGTGCTGGGCCACCTCACACACTGCCTCCATCTTTCTCTCCCTGCCCCTCTCTCCTGTTAGAAGGAACCCTGTACTCACTACACCCAACCCAGGCTTTGCCTCCAGGACAGTTCAACAGCAGCCAGAATCCTCTTTACCGCCTTCATTTGTCTCTGCTGTGGAATCTTACACATTCACAGGCTCTAGGGCTTCGGATGTCAGGAGAGGAAGGAGTTTTCTCTGTCTATAGCAAGACAATCCTGGGTTCTGCTAGCCAGGCGGAAGGGGTGGGGCTAGAATCTGGCAGGATATGGCTGAGACTCCTGTGTAGTCTGTCATATTCTTACTCATAGGGATAAAATACATTCCACACAGGTTACACAGGTGGGACACTTTATTTCCATGCTGTGGGGAGACCCTTCCCACAATTAGACTGGAATCCAGTGAACTGGACCAGTTTAGTAAAGGCCTGCAGAAGCCAGGACTTGACAGACTCAAGCATCAGAAGG